TATATGTTTGCCTGTGCTCTTAGTCCTTACCAGGGTGTGTGTATACATAGATTTCTCTCAAAACCCAAATATTTTAGTAAACTATGTGGTCTTAAGAGATTTTTCCAGATACCTACTATATTAGTTGAACTTAGTGGAAGATAAAAGATTCTGCAAATTGTCATTTGCTGTCTTGCCCTTCTGTGATGCAGATCGCAGGATGACGACAGTAAATGCTGCTGCTGTCAGTGGCTGGGGACATCCCTAAGAGGTAGTGTAACACTTTGGTGGTGGCAGGCAGGTTGCATCTCTACACCAGACCTGAACAGGTTATCTGTGGGCCTCATTTCTGAACAGACTTGATGCTTCCTTGGTTTTCTTACTCATCTCTTCAAATTGAGAGACCCACCTAACAAAACATAGTGGTAAGACTGGCTCTCCATCCATATTGCTTGTTGTCCATGTCTCTTAATGCCCTTCTTTAAATGCAGATAAATTACACTTATACCACAGTATGGTTCATTCAGAAGTGGACTTCATGGATTTGAAAATCCATTTGTTGTACCTGAGGAAATAATTGTTGCCTTATGCTTCTACCTGTCTCTGTGAGGACAACCAGCTATTAGGAACGCTTTAAAACCTCATTGGAAGACATCCAAAGGTTTTCTGAGAACACTGTTTATGGTTTGTTTAAGGTTATCAGTTATGTTTCAAATAAAAAGCTGTCTGCAAATGATCATTGCTCTGTACTTTGAACTCATTTAACTGGACATTATTTACAGAATATTTATCTTGGTTATGGCAGTTTTTTGTCACACAGCGATATTACTTTTCCATTATATACTGCATGTGACCACCACACAAGTTTGATAATAAATGCTGGGAAATAAAAAACAGAGTAAGTGCCTCAGTGTGATAGCAATTCCCATGTGATGGGAAATAATGTCATAAACTTCAAATTACCTTTTAAATAAATGTTTACGTCCAACCCATCCATTAGATCATAGCCTGAAGGGTCAGGAGGATCATTTCTTCATATTTCACTATATGCATTATGATTGCTTTTTTAGGTGTAAATGATGTTTTTAAATGAAGAATGGCACTCAAACTATACACAAACAACGGCTAGACATCACTGAGTCGCAGTACGGCAGAAATAGCCTCAGCCACTCAGCTAAATTTAGAAGTGCAGCAGTAAATTGAACTCATTCTTAGAAAATACTTTTAATGGTGTGCATGCTGAGACGATACAGAAATACAGCTCGTGTCATTCTCACAGTCTGTAGCTTTGACATTTTAGTCAAGTTTAAATTCTAATTGTGGTTTGGTAGATGGCTGATTTGGTAAATGCTGATGAGGGTAAACATTTTGGAGAGTGGGGAAGAACATCCCTATTTTTCTGAGTGTGCAGGTAGTAGATTCCACATTAGTGAGGGTTTTAATCATCTAGGGCTTTGTGTGCTTGTGTAGTGATGACACCTCTTTAGGTGCCCAGGCACGATGTTTCCCTGAGAGCACCTGGTGTGGAACACCCTACACATTGAGGTGCTGCTATTCCCAATACCTTCCATGGGAAGGGGATATTGCTGACTAAGAATGAAGCAAACCCAAATCCCATATTTAGATATTTCCTAGCTCTGAGCTGGACCTCCCCAGTCCATACGTCATGGAGGAGCCTTTCTGGCTCCCCGAAACACGCCGCACATGAAAGCTTTTATACACGGTGGTGTTAACTGTGTTATCCCTGCAGTGCTAGGCTAAAAACCCAACCAGGAGTTGAAATGGTGGAGTTAACAAAGAGGTAGCTTTGAAAAAGAAGAAGCTGTAGGTGTCCTGAGGTTGCTGATGTACACATGGAGATGGGGCAGGCTCCTCAGCCCATGCTGGGCTGGGTGGTGGGGGGGGGAAGGAAGAGCTGTCAAGGGCTGTTAGACCAGTCTGGAAATAAATTCAAACAAATACCCTCTGTTTACAGGCAGGGGAAACCCCATTGTCTTGGAGATTTAAAACACCAATCAAGAAATTCAGTGGTGATTTTGCTACAACTAAGATTTGACCTTCCTGTTTACATTAAACGTTTTTTATGGCTGTGTGCAGTGACGTTGTTGCTTTGTTTAAGGTATTTGACAGTTACAGCAGTTCTGGGAATAATTGTTTTGGTTCTATACCTGTCAGGAAAGAAATATGTTAATATTTGAGATCAGGTTACTTTTTTTTTAAACTTATATTTGTTGTGTTTCTCAACTTTACCTTCTTTCATAAGGACCATTAACAATGTCAAATTTAGCTTTAAAACAATGTTTCTTAGCAACATATTAAATACTTTGTCCAAAACATTCTTTTGAATTGGAGGCTAATCTACTCTAGAACCAGTTGGCTATAATTTTGCTTCTTTTGTAACTATCATTTATGTAAAAATGGTATATTAATTTCTTAGAGTTCTCTTGATCCCAATTTCTTTTTTGTTAGCTGGGGTCTATAATCCTTTCCACAGCAACCACCTGTAAAAGCAGAGGATTATGACTTGAGGCAGGATATGAGCAGCAGGAACAGATCAACTTAAAAACAAAGATCCTGCTGAATACAAATGCTATTGTTAGCATGGAGTTGGGGTGAGTCAAGTAGCAGGATGTCTATTAGAATATAATGAATTCGTATCTGGGCCACATGGCGTGCTAGCCAGAAGATAAATCCTTTCAGCAGTTATGTGGTATATCTTTATACCTTTCCTTATTATACTTTTGCCTAGTCAAATAAACTGTTTCCTCTGAGAATGGCTGATATCTAAGTATCTGAACAGCTTTTTGGTTTTCTGTAGATTTATTTTTATGTCTAAAAAGTTTCTGCACTGTTACACTTTCCCCCCAAAAGCAGGGATTTGAAATTACACTACCACAAGCTTGTTCCAAGGTTAGTAATTGACATTTGGGGCTATTGCTGTCTTTTCTTATGATGTGTGTAATCCTTCAGAGGGAAGGAGAAGGTGAGATTTTTTTCTTTGTCCCTATATTTTAAAATAAAAGAAATACAATGAAATTTTTCCCTTATAAAAAGGTCTTGGTTTTAATACTGATAGTTTAACTGACCTATCTAACACTAATATATGTGTCTGAATTTCGAAGTATTTTTGAAGGGTTGGGGCTTTTTTTCCCCTATTTTTTTTTCCTGTTAAGGTCTGTAGGAAGTGAAGAAGTTACCAAGTGACAGAAAACATTCAAGTCAAGTGTGGGAAAAAAAAAAAAAACAACCTACTTTTAAAAAAAAAAATTTGAAAAATTCTTACATAGCATGGATGAAATTAATAAATATACTAAAGACAGTGTTGGAGTCAGGTAGCAGTTTCACTTGGGACAGCTTGTACAGTTATTCTGATAACTGTCAAAACATACCAGGAGAAATCTGTGCCTCCCAAACTTGTGTTGACTGTATTTTTGTAATAAGCAACAAAATGCGTTGTGGTGTATTGGTGTATCTTAGTTTGTAGATATATATGTGTATATATATGCACACACACATATATACATACACATATATATATAAAATATATTACACACCAAATAATAGTAAAATTCCACATAAGCATCTCTAATGGCAAGTCAAACAGAAACTTTGGTAGATGAAAATGTTTGGAGGGGTCTTTAATCATTGCCATATGATGGCAAGAAGAGACTCCATATAATGGTTTCGGTGGGTTTGTTTGAACACTTGCTACTGGATGGATTAGGATCCCTCTTTAGTGTCCTAAAGTTTGCAAGGTTAAAAAGACACCACACATAGTCTTAAAGTTATTTCTAACTCCTGCCTGAAAAGATTTTATTGCACTTGATATATGGACTTTTTCAGATTATCCTACTGATGGTGCTTTGGCTGCAACTATATTATCAATGAATAAGAAAACAGAAGCCATGGCATTTTAACTGTATGAATTCTTCAGACTGTATTATTTTGTTAGCCTGAGGCAAGAAATGGTGCTCTTAGTACTCGTCTGTGCAGATTGAGTAATCTGAGACAAATGTGTAACCACACCGTGTGTGCAATATGTCCACATACTACGGACTAGCCGGTCATGCTGTGCACCACAGGCAGCCAAGTATCTCTCATGGACAACAGACATATGTTAAAAAAATGATAATTTTATTATGCTGTCTGGGATTTCACTGCACATAACTGATTCTAAATATTATAACAAAGATGGTATAACTGTGGATCTGTTTATCTCATGAGATTCAGAATTTTATACTGTAAGGAGCTGGTTTTGTCAGCAGGATTTTCTGTTACCTAACCAGAACTCTGAATTTTTACTTGAATTCTATTCATGGGAGCAACAGAAAATATGTATTCCCAGTGCGATTGATTTTGGTGTTTTAACATGGCTTGCATTAGTGTGTGTGATAGCTTGAATTTTCTTTCTTCACCAAAGCTGCTGAAACAATACAATGACAGATTCCTGCTTTTATTCTTCGTTAATGTCATTCTTCATCCTCTCTGCCCCACATCAGGGAGGAAGTGTTGTGAGTTTGCTATTTTAATGAAGAGAAATGAGGTATCTATCAACTAAGATTTATACTGGGGAGCACATCAATTCAGTTGCCTTGAGCTTGCTGAGTTTGCATATCCAGAGCCAAGCAGCGCTCTCAATTACTCCCGTCCAACCCCATTAACTTCAGGAGGTTGAGCAGTTCAAAAGTGGCTTTGCAGAATGCAGGGTGATATTAGGGGGAAAAAAAGGCTGTCTGTTAGAGAATTCAAGCTCCAAAGTATTATTTTTGGTTATCTAGAAGGAGATGTGCGTGCAGTCATAATTACACTTCTGAAAGGTTAGGGTAGTTATCATATAGTAGTTTCATTGAGTATTTCTTTGTAGATGTGCCTGACAGAACAGACAACCTCCCAGAAATCACTGCAGTGAGGGGGAAAACACTTCCAGCCCTGGAAACATATTGCAAGTCATATGTCTTTAGTAGGCTGCATCCTGTAATTACTCTTAACCGTAGGTTGTTTCTTCCTCTTTCTCTCTCTAGGAGCTATGTCGTCAGCGCATGGCAGTGAAAGCATCTGATCGCCCGGAGCCCCTGCATTCTTCTCGAATAAACAGCGTTTCTTCACAATTTAGTGATGGCCCCATTCCCAGCCCCTCAGCCCGGAGCAGCACATCATCCTGGTGCGAGGAGCCGGTCCAGTCCAACATGGACATTTCCACGGGTCACATGATCTTGGTAAGGCATTTTTTGTCTTCACAGCATGAGAAATTTCATTAGAATTTGAAGCACCTGCTGAGCTTTTGGAAAGAGTTAACTGTTAAAGAAAGGGAAGCTGTCTTTTCACAGGTAAAAAGTATTCCTGCACTTTGTCAGTAATCTTCGCTTTTTATAATTAAAACTAAAGGGCTTTTAATTTCCATTTCTTTTTCATTATATCTGGGGTTTTTTTCCTCTCTGGGGAGCATTCTTTTATCTTGCACACACGAATTATTTGTGTGCTTGCTTTAAAAAAAGATAAGCTCTCTGTTGTGTGTCCTATTAATTTATGTTTACCTCAGCTTGGAGAACTAAAGAAAAACTGCTAGCTTTCTGATCAGCTTGCTGCTTTTTCTCATGTATCTTCAGTGTGCAGTTATCCGAGCTGAGAAAGCAACAGAATATCAGTGGTACAGAGCAATTTGTTTTCCATTACCCTTAGAAAAGGCATCTGGATTTTGAGCCTTGTCTGAATTTCATTGTCCTTGGCAGAATTTCTTCCAAGCTAGATCTATTCTGTGTTTGAAATGATCCAAATATATTCTATTGATGAAGTCTGCATTGGAAAATTTGTGTTACATCCAAACACGACTTGCAACCAGTATTAGTGTAGAAGATGGACACGTAAAAATCTGTGTGTATGTAGGAGTCAGAGTCCAGTGGTTGGAACTGGCTGCTGCTTGTTTCTGTCTCTGTTAGCATCCTGCTGGAAGAGCCATAGAGTAATCCCTCGTTTTCACACCTTATTTTTCTTCTCCTTTAAATATTTGCTGACTTTGTAGGGTGCATCAAAATCAGCTGAGAAGTTAGGTAATGGTGAAGATGATGAGTCAGGTGTTATTTTGCTTTCTATATTTGATTTCTGGTTTTTATTAGTATGGTCGATCTAAAGTAAACACCCTTTCCAGTTGGTAGTGTTGCCAGGCTTTTGGAAACTTCCCTGTTGATTAGGCACTGCTGAGAAGACTCACCAGTGGGGTGTCTCAGAAGAAATCTTCTGTCCACCATGCCACACTTGGGTAACAATTTTCCAACTTTTTTCTCTTTTTTTCTGGACTTATATTTGAAAGTATTGCATTAGATATTTTTCAAGTTCTTATAAGACATAATGGAGAAAGAAATGAAGGCAGGCAAAAACCAGAGTTACTTTGACCTTAGCCAGGTTACTGACCTCCTTCAGTATTGGTTGTGTCAGCTATAAAACTGAGCAAAAGCAGGGTGGATTTGTAAACCGACTGCTTCATCAGAGTATGTCATCCTCAGTAAATACTTCTTCCCCTGCCCATACTTTTTCACTCCTTCCTTTCCCCTCAAAAGGAGTTAATTAAGTATTATGTTAAAATCTGGTAAACAAGTGCAGTTTTGAAGAGTTGCTCCCATGACAGAAAATAATATGTTATAGTTTTTACTGTCACATTTTTGCCTAACCAGAATTAAAATTCATTTCATTTCCTTTCATAGTTAACTAAAATGCTTGAGGATAAAAAGAACATCTCTAATTACCCAACCTCAAAATAAGTACAGATTCCTGTCAGAAGTTTATAAGGCAACACAGTTGTATGGAAATAAGAGCGAAATTTCCTAGGTAGGCAGAATTATGATTTAACATTTGCAAACAGTTTAAACTACTTTAATTTGAGCAAAGTTGTTTTCAGTTATATTATTGGGAAAAATAAAAAATCATACAATCAAGCTTAAAGGAGAAAATGTTTCAGATGGGAACCACTTATTCTGGCTCTGGGAATTTCTGCAAAGTTGCAAGAAAGAATTGTCTTCATATGGTAATAAATAAACTTTAAAAAAGTACTCAGATTGGTAAAGATCACGGTTCTGCTGTTCAGTGTCCATAATTCAGTCAATCCTGTTTAACCCTGGATGAACTCATACATATGTTAGCTATCTAACAGCATATGTTATATCTTAGACAGTAAGGGTTCAAAGAAGGGTAAAAGAAATGCTGTAGTGTCTTGAGAGTACAAACCACACAGAGAGTAAAAAATAGTTAATTTGTTTAGTCTAAAGTGAACAAACAAAAATCAGTGATTCAGGAGAGTCTGCCTTTGCGCTTTGAAATACAGGATGGGGAAAAATTGTGCTTAATGGACAAAGATGATACAATTAGGAAGAAAATATGGCTTAGAATCAAAAGGATGCATTTAGCCTGGATATCAGGGCAAGCCTAATAGGAGGGTCAGGCAAGCAGTGGGATGTTTGCTTAAGGGAAGTAGTTAAACAGTAAATTTAAGATTTGCTGAAGGCAAAGCTAGGTTAGGTTTACATGGGAAGAAAACATCATTCAGCTACAGCACTGAAGCAGATGATTGGTCTTGATCAGAAATGCTTGTGTTTTGCTTCAGTGTGTGTCACACTGAACCCAGAGAGCTGACCTAATTTATGTTTTGCTCAAAAATAAATGCACATATCTGTAATACCTTGTTTGTGTGAATTTCTCTCCCTGTGGAGATGATGTGGATTGTGGGACTTCAGCAGAAGCAACTTGCCGCAAGGTGAGCTTTTCCTTCCCTTGCCCGGAAGCTACAAGTGGAGGACTGCAAGGGGCCACTTCACAACTTTCTTACCATTCGATACAGGAAGTTTTCCAGTTCTTCCCATTTCCTTCTGCCACAATCCTTTCATCTTTTAAATTTTGTGAATATTTTCTATTAAAAATACCTCAGTGCCTAAAAAAGTGAGGAGAAATATTAGCAAGGAGCCTAGTAAGAGTGGCAAATACCATCTGCTTGGCACGTAAATGCACTTACAGGTCTGTAAATGCTTTTCAGCTCCACAGTGTGCGGCGAAGTAGCAGTTAGCTCAGTGAGGGCTTCTCAGTCTTTATTGTTCGTAGGTGCCAGGACATCCCCAGAGAAAATAAACCAGTGGATTACTGTATAAAGTGGCATTGGAAATAGTTTATTTTGAGTTATTTACAGGATGTACCTTTAATGAAAGTAGCTTGGAAGGAATGTGTCTGTGACTGCTGATGACTCCGTGTAATCTCGCTCAGAGGTAGCGTCGGTCAAAAACATTTCTGTGAACATGTTTAGTTTGCTGGAAAATGCTAGCAGGTCATACCTGAAGTGATATCCAAGCCATGTCAGCTTTGGATTTGTTGGAGCTTGTGGTTGGCTACAGGTACTGTTTTTTTGAAGACTGACCAACAAGGCATTACTTGTGGTTAGCCTGTTGTTTATAGTGCTTGGGGTCTGGAGAAACTGGGAATCTTCCAAACCCATGTGGCTGTGGGGCATTCTCCTCACTTAGACTGAAACCAGTCTTTCAGAGAGAAAAATCCTGCATTTCTGCCACGTTCCTGTACTGCAAAGGCAATGTCTGTGCACTGCTGACAGCAGCACGAGGTAGTGTGTACTGTTGGCAGGAGGAAGCAGGGAGGACTTGGGAGGCCCAGAAGGACAGCGATAACAACATTCAGAGCTTTTTTTTTTTTCTCCTTTTCACGTTCTTTTTCCTCACATTCATAGCAGGAGGATGGCGCATATGGCACTTTTTGATTCTGTCTTTCTAAAAGATCCAGACACTTTGGAAAGTGTAATTAGAAGAGCATGTTTTATGCAGTCATGTTTGTGGCACTGACTGGCTGGTTTCAGTATGAGCAACAACAAAGGGGTGCCCTCATTTTGGTCACCGTTGGTTTGACAAGAAAACAATTGATTTTCAGAAGGTCACATTAAGAGAAAGAGTAGGAATTTAGGATTAGATTGCCATCTGCTTTATTCACATGTGTACATCTATATTTCAAGTGGCAACAGAAGCCCTAATAAAGTGCAATGCTTCCCTTTGCAGTCCAGCAAGAAAACCAGGGACAGGTTGAAGGTGTCCTGGTGAGATTTAGTCTCCCTGACTTGGGGTCCTAACTTAAACACACGTTTTAGGCACTTAATGAAGCAGTGCTGTTGAGTCCATAAATTCACTTTTAGTCAGTGGCTATGATGATCTACAGAGAATTAGGCAGAGAGTGGATTTCTCTTGGGGTGGCCTGCTGTTATGCCTGCACCATCCTGTTGACATCGGCAGTTTAGATGAAGTATCTTTTGTGCATGCTGAAGTGCAGGTTCAGCACGTAAGTTAGGTAGATTGGATTCCACATCTGCTTCATATATTACCACGCTTGTTTGGTTAAAATAATTGTAATCTCTTATGAGTTTGTAAATGAAGAACAGTACTGCAAGAAGGGAGCGTATGCTTTTGGTGATAACATTTTGAGATTGTTATCTGAATACCATATATCAGAGGGAATTTGCAGAAGCAGAAATGATTTTCTGTGTTTTGGGTTTCTTTCCTTATAAAGAGAGACGTGCAAAATTTGGAGCATTATACATAAATTGCAATTTCAGAAAGTGTGAATTTACAAAAGCTCCTCTTCAGTACTTGCTTAAGCCGGAAGTTTGAGGAGTCTTCTCCCTGAGGGTATGAAACTGCTGTATATATTGGAAAAAATAGTAGTCTGTGATAGTTTTTGCATACTGTACTTGTCAGAAGGAGAAGAAAGTTTCATATTTGGGTTGAACAAGGAAGTGGGAGCAATGAACTAAAGTGTGAAACCTAGGGCCTCACATCTAGGAGGTGTATATGGTCCCCTTGTGTTTGGCAATATGCCTGCAAAACAAAAGGACTTTCCCCATAGAAAAGTGGAGAACGGCCTCATGTGGGAACTTTGTGTCAAAAGAAAGTTCTGGGGCAGGTTGTATCCCGTAAGGTGACACAACCTGAACTGGGGGACATAGGATGGAGGCCTGCTGGGAAACCAGTGAAACCCAAGGTACTAAATTTTGCATCCATTTTAGTTCTGATGCTGAATTAATGGCATGATTGCTGTGTAACTGACAAGGGTAACAAGTAGGGAATAGTTTTCAAGGTTGAACCTGGTGTTTTTGATAGCATTGGTATCCTGCAGTCACTGCATAGTAACTTTTTGATGGTTTAGAAGCAATTTTCCCTCACTCTCATTTTTAAAAATA